AGCATAGAGCACAGAAAAATCAAGACTGTGAGGTTGCTTTTTACCGTTAAGCTACTGTGTATAACCAAATACTCTTTATAACCAAATAAATATGTTTTTATTGTAACCATAGGTGGAAGTGAGAAAAATTCTAAATTTGAGTGAGTATATTTTTATGAAGATTTTTGAGAACAGAAAAAGTAGCTTGAAATTTGATACCAGGTTCATTGGCTCTTGCTGGATAATACACTTCAAGAAGGAAGGTAATCTGGCCTTTTAAAAAAAAGAATGACAGTGTTCATTATGGCTACTTTCAAAGAAAGTTTGAACGTGATTCTGATCTCTTCAAAGTTCTTCACATTTTCTCACATGTTCTGGAGAGTGATGGGGGAAGAATTGCTCCCAGGTGGAAAAACCAAGTCTGAGACTTTACCATCCTGTTTTAAGGATATAGGCTACCCAGTGAAGGGCCTTTTTAAAAAAATACAGATAAAATGCCTATTATGAATGTAAAAATAGCAGTATTTTATGTAACAGCCATTGCCATATTCTAAGAATGACCTATGAATTGGTGTTTTACTGACCAGGTAATAAATATTTCCACTGTGAACAGTTGAATAAAACAACTCCTTTTTTCTCTTTCCTATTCTTGTGATGTAAGAATTTTAAAAAATGCACAGCAATCCAGCCAAATAAATAGGTCTCTTATTTCTTCAGAGTTATAGAAGCCAATTATTTTGGTCTAGAGCCTAAAGCTCATTTGTTCTCGTGAAGTAAATGAAAATAGAAAGTTCCTTTATCAGTACAGAAGAGTGGGGGATATCAGCTTAACAGTGCATGTTAATCTTTTAGCATATTCTTATATGTGATTTTAAAAGAGTGTTTCTAAGATCAGGTTTTTTAGGCTTGATTATTTAATGATAAGAGATGTATGATTCAACATATAAATATTAGCTTGTAACCCACCTTTTAGATATAAAACGAAGTTCAGGATTGTTAATGAATAGTTATTTGGATGACCAAAGGTCTCCCGTCAGAGCACAAGTGACCAATACATGTCACAAATCATTTATTTTCCAAACATATACAGACACATTTATATTTCACTTTGGCAGCAGAAACTGTAGTTTAGGTGAAAAATCAATTTTAAAATAGAAATTCATGGGGCCGGCCTGGTGGCATAGCAAAGTTCACGTGTTCTGCTTTGGTGGCCCGGTGTTTGCCAGTTCAGATCCTGAGCGTGGACCTTCTCACCGCTCATCAAGCCATGTTGAGGCAGTGTCCCACAAAGAAGTGCCGCAGTTCTACAACTATGATATACAACTATGTACTGGGGCTTTGGGGGGAAAAAAGAGGAATATTGGCAACAGATGTTAGCACAGGGCCAATCTTCCTCAAAAAAAAAAAATTCAACTATTTCACACTGGTATTATGCTTTTAACCTTCTTGTTACACATATAAAGAATTACAGTGGGACCATAAAATTAGATATATATCTAGTATTTCAGTATCCTATATGAATTTGGGAATGAAATATATTTATGCATTAACTTATGTAGCTTTGTGTTGATGAGTTTCATTTTCAGAACTAAATATTGTAGTCATTAATAATCACACACGCACACACCCTGAGACTATACTAAGCTACAGCTTTAATATTTTTTTAACTAGACAAATATTGAGCACCTACTATGTGCTTAGTACTGTGCTAGGCACTTAAACGTGAAGTGGGGTAATAACATAGCCTCTGTCTTCCATGATCTTGCATGCTGAGGCAAATCAGTCACAGAGTTTTTAACAATGCGACATTACTCTATTCAGTGTCAGTCATCTAAAATAGGGAAGGTTTCAGAGGCCTGCTTGATGGCAGGCTTGAGCAGTTGTGTTTTGCATCTAAGAGATGTATATGAATAGCTTGGTAATCATGGAGATTCAGTATTTCAACAACATTCATTGCAGGTATTCCTATTTCAAAATCCTTAGCCATCAGCCAAGGATTGCTTTTAGGAACTTGTTACATAGAGATGGCAGAGGACGCATATGTTGTTAACAATGCACTGTATCATGGAAATGTTGACCCAAGTATGGACTTTGTGTAAGAGACAATCTCCCTTTTCTAATAACTTTTTGGAAGGCTCAGGTATTCACCTCTTCTTGCCTTGCTGCTGATGTGAGAGAAGCAACTGAAAGGAATCAGAGGCGGCCATCTAGAGAGTGCTTTCCCTGTAGGCTGCCTCTCACTCTGCCAAGTATAAGATCAGACACTGGCCAGGAAAATCCTACTCTTCTATCTCTGCATGGGAGTAGAGTTGTGGACTTTTGTGTTTTAGAGTTAAGTCAGTTTTACCAGACTGGTATGCAAGCTCTGGTTACTTTTCAGAATTAAGCAAGGCCTGTGGGTGTTCATCTGAATGGGGGAGAAGAGGTCTACAGAGATATTGGAAAGGGAGAGAACAGAGGAAAGGGAAGATGGAGTTAAAAAAAAAAAAAAAGTACATATGCAGCAATAGGGGAGGCCCACTTTCATTAATGAGTCTCCAGTGTCTCCAGAGCCATGGTGATGTGAGACCTTTGTAGGAAAGCATATTGGATTAAAAAGAAGGCATCTGTAACTCACTTTGGTTGAGTCTAGACTCCATATTTACCCCTAAATGCAGAATTTATAAATAACTTTTACTTGCTAAGGATGACATGAAAAGAGGCATTCCCACAAGAGGGCACTTTCTGCCCACATAGTATTGTTACTTTCTGCGGAGTTATCCTCAAGCTTATTGTCAATTCCTTAACACTCTCATGTGATCTTACATTATTTTGCAAAACAACCAATTCCAGATGAACAGGTGACTGAGAGGAAGTTAATCTAGTTCTTCTAGCATCACACATCATATTGGATTCTTACTCTAATCCTTTCTTGCCAGCTATAGATATTCTTAAAAGTTGGCACTACCTAACAAGGTGACAGAATTCATGCTCCTTGTTTTTAGTGAAGCACCTTAAAATATTTTTCCTCAAAATCTTGTAATAAACCCAGCTTGCATGTTAGATTCTTTTCCATATCAACTCTACTGATAAACGTTTGCTATGCAGATTTTTAGTAGTCTGAAAAGTATGAAGGGGTAATGGGTATGGTTTGGGAGGCTGTTTTAGATGCAGTCTAAATAAGAGGATAATTTCTTTCATTTGGTATACTAATATAGCTGTATAATTCATATAAGCTATAAATAAAAATTTTGTACTTTTGGCAGACATCAGGTTGTGCTGGTTAGTTGTAGTAGTAGAGTGGACCTTTTACATTTTCGAGCAATGTATCCTTCCTAAAATGCCAAAGACTCAAATGCAATAGAATGGAATGAACAACCTCAAAATGGAATGACCAACCAAGTTGGGTTGCAACATAGGCAACAGGCTGTTGCTAAAACACTCACTTGCTAAAACCTAGTCTCACATTCAGTCTCCAGGTAAGTTGCAGATTTTTGTGCTGCAGCCAAATCAACTATGTTAAAGGCTTTGGGGTGGGGTGGGGCGGAGCTTACAAAGAGTCAAGGCCAAATGATAAATCTAGAGAGACCAGTCTTGCTTTTCATCTCATTACTCTGCATAGTTTTCATTTGACTCTAGCCAGTTAGTTAGATCAGTAACTCAGTTTTCAATGGATGGTAAGCCAAAACAGAGGAAAAAAATGCTTGTTTGTTAGTTTATAGAAGCTCGATCAAGTGTTTCTGGAATATTTTTAAAAATGGGGCAGCATTTGTTATAGACAATTTGATTTAAAGAAACCTATAGCACTGTACAAACCTATAAATGTTAAAGTGTTAAAGAAATCTGTAACACTGTACAAAGTGGAGCAGCCTGAATTCTGTCAACAAGCAAATGGTGGGTGGTTCTTCCAGCACGAAGACTCTGAGTCAGGAAGAACTTCCAATAACATGAAAGCTATGTGTGCTGTATTTTTAACACTTCTGTTTTTAGAATATGAAAAGAACTTGGGGATTGTTTTATTCATTTTTATAATTGGCAAAAAACTTCTCAAAGCAAAGGTTAAGATTTTTGCTGTGTTTTATAATTTGAAGAAAAATGTCTTAAATTTTAATATCAATAGAAAGAAAATTTGGATTTTACTTCAGAGGAACACATTTCATTTTAAAAGTCATAATTTGCTTCATACAAAGAATAAGAAGACTCCTTTACACTCACATGATAGTGTTATACAGCAAGGTTTTAAAAATAATTTACATTAAATGGCAAGTATAACTTGGATCAATAGCTCTTCAGTTAATCAGAAATGAAAATGAAGCTTTTTTACATGAAATTCTGGTCCATTTCAGGTATTCAGAGCATACATTTTCTTTTTTAGGAGATTTGTCTTCAAATAGTGAGATAGAACCACGAATATTTCTAATCCATAAGCGATACGAAGAAAGCTATGTATAATAAATATTTAAGTACAGTGTCAGTACAAACTTTGCAAAATAAATAAATTTAAACACCAACTCAATCTACTTTTGCTTTTAAAAAAAAGGTTAAGTTTCTTGTTAAGACGTCACAACTCAGTAGATATTAAATTGTACATCATTCTAAACTCATTTTGTGAAAAACCAAAAGTGGAATAACCTGTGAATATATACGCGATCAACTTAAAGAAAACCCCAATATTATTCTATATGTAAAAGAAATCGTAAAGGAGAGTACACTATGGTACACAATATAGAAACTAAATTGAATTACTTTTTAATGAATTTTACAGGACATATTTACATTTGCAATGCCCAAAAGCTTCCATTTCTCAGCCATAAAATGTATGGCTAAACTAGCTTGCTTGTTTTCAGATTGCTGTACCTCTTGTTCCCAACTTTCTAAGTCAAGTCAGCAAACTATGGCCCTTGGGCCAAATCCAGCCTGCCACCTGTTTTTGTCTGGCTCTTGAACTAAAAATAGTTTTTAAATTTTTAAGTGGTTGAAAAAAATCAAAAGAGGAGTTTATTTGTGACATGAAAATTATATGAAATTCCAATTTTAGTGTCTGTAAATAGTTTTATTAGAACAGAGCCACGCTTGTTCATGTATGTGTTGTCTAAGGCTGCTGTTGCGCTACAATGGCTGAGTTGAGTAGTTGCAATAGAGACCATATGGCCCATAAAGCCTCAAATATTTACTATCTGGCCCTTTACAAAGTTTGCTGACCCTTGTTCTAAGTCAATTATTGTTAGCTTAGCACTGGTTTTCCCAACTGTTGACGTTCGTAAAATGGCAGTCTCCTGGGCTTCCTTGCTTCATTCATCAGGAAATTGGTTGGCAGCTAGCCCTGTGCCATTTTGCTTGCCCTCACTGTGGACCTCACATCATGTGAGAAGAAGGCTTCAGTTCAGAAGTCATCAGTTTCCAGTTTAAGGAAAATAAGGGAATTATATTTGTTTCCACCATGTTCGTTCTTGACTTTAACTTCCTGCCAAAAGATACCACCTGTGAAGTTGTATACATAGGCTTATTAGTATATTTAAAATGAAGGAGCAGAAACATTTACAGTGTAGCAAGGAGTTAGTGTTGTTCAACCAACAGAAACCCACAGCTCTGGTGGCTGGGTTTAGGGGAGAGATTATTTCCTATAAAAGTCACAATGTTATAACATGATGTTCCAGGAGGTGGAACATTAGGCTATTTCTGCCCTGGAACACCACGTTCTTTAGAAAAAAATTTTTTTTTTATCACAATCAAATAAACTGTTCAACTTTTTTAAAAAGATGGAATTCCTTCAACTAACTATTTATTACTTCAGATAAAAGTAAGGTAGATAATTGTTTAGAAATTCTTAGATTATTAAGGGGTAACTCTTGAAACTTTAGAGGTGAAAATTTTAGAACAAATAACATGAAATATGTCACTCAGAAAGCAATAAAAATACTAAACTTGTTTTCTTATGGGCATATACAGAAAGGCCCTTCTTTTTTCACAAGTGCTCTTTCTTGGAAACACCATTTGTAAAGGCGTTCATAACATGGGATATCTATTCCCATAGATGCATCAATGGGTATTTTTAACGAGAAGCTTCCCCAAGTTTAAGCAAAGCTGAGGTCAACTGAATGATTCTAAATGTCTCCTTGCTACGGGAAAATTGAGGCCAAAGGCATTCATCTAAATCACCACCACCCTCCCTCGTCACCTAAAATATAAGCAATTAGTAATGCTATATTATTTTTAAGTCAGATTCCTAGTGGAGTTGTATTCTTTTGTACTTAATGTAATCTTGTAGCACAATGAGGGCTCCTTACTGTGCAGAGTGGAATTTCACTTTATCATTACGGAGGTTATAGTATATAGATGTGTATAACATTATCACACTTATGATTTATTTGATGCTAAGTTCTTGATACGGAAAACAATACTTTAAATTTTGGTTACTGTCCTTATGGCATGCTCACAGACTCACTGCCACGGTGAGTCATTTTATAAAAGTTGGAGAGGCTCAATGGTGGTGCTTAGTTCTAAAGCTCACTTAGCTTTTGGAGAAGGCACTGATTGTCTGAGTGACACTAGGGCAGAAAAGAGAGTGAGTCCGGAACTTTTAAAAATTGGGATACCAGATGTACGTCAACAGAAGATGGGTGCTGAACCTTCTGAGAGTCTGGGCAGCCCAGTGCCTCACCATTCTGGAGTGTGTTCACTATTATCTGATGCTATGTGATGTGGATTGTGGCCACAGTTCCGAGATTTCCTTCTGATGAGTCTTTACATACAGAACCTCAACAACCTTGACTCTCTCAGAATAGCTGGATATGCAGACATGCTGAAGGAGGCAGTTTCCTGTATTTGGCCTTGTCTGTGGTTTTGAGGGAACTTTGTAAGTATAGTATGGGGCACTAATTATTTTAGGAGTCCCTCTTTAAATGTAGAAACACGGGCTCAATGTACTGGGTCTTCTTTGGGGCCGTTATAAACCAAATTTGGCCCTGTCAAGAGGTATCAACGAATTGTTTAATTGTGAGCTTCTACAATTTCATATAACAGAAATTCCTGATTGTGATAAAGACAGATGATGAAGCTCTCCAGTATAAGCAGCAATGCCTCCCTATGCTGTTGGTCTCTTGTGAGTTTTAAATCTTAGAACTACAACAGGGCTGGCCCCGTGGCTTAGCGGTTGGGTGCGCGCGCTCCGCTGCTGGTGGCCCGGGTTCGGATCCCGGGCGCGCACTGACGCACCGCTTCTCTGGCCATGCTGAGGCCACGTCCCACATACAGCAACTAGAAGGATGTGCAGCTATGACATACAACTATCTACTGGGGCTTTGGGGGAAAAAATAAATAAATAAATAAAATTATAAAAAAAAAAAAGAACTACAACAGAACAGGTGAAAAGTCAGCTTTAGTAATCCTTTGGGTTCATTAAGAAACTAAGTGAAGAGAAGAAATCTATGTTTGGTTTCCTTATGTGTCTTTTTTTAAAATTCAGGTTCCATATAAATAATTTGTTTTAAGATAGAATGAAATTTACTCTGTACCAAGCAGTGGTTTGGCAACCAAAGGCCTGATTTACTGCAGTTTCAAGATGAAGGCTGTTACGTTAGTTTGCTTTCTTTTTAACCATCATAACAGCCTGAATACAGATTTTTATTTTTTAATTGAGGCAGAAGAAGTTGAGGTAGTTGAGGCTAAACGAAACCTAAATTAAGGGGCCGGCCCCGTGGCGTAGCAGTTAAGTGCGCGTGCTCCGCTGCTGGCGGCCCGGGTTTGGATCCCAGGCACGCACGGATGCACCGCATCAGGCCATGCTGTGGCGGCGTCCCACGTAAAGTGGAGGAAGATGGGCACGGATGTTAGCTCAGGGCCAGTCTTCTTCAGCAAAAAGAAGAGGATTGGCATGGATGTTAGCTCAGGGCTGATCTTCCTCAAAAAAAAAAAAAAAAACACCTAAATTAAAATAGCATAAAACTAGAAATCCAAAGGAATGAAAGCTGAATGGACCCACAGCAGCCTTTCAAGAACGTTTATGTGAGTTACCAATAATTAAGACAGTTCTATGTCTATGAAATAAGGCTGTTGTAGTAGTCTAGGCAAGTTGGCTGTCCTCTTGGGGCCTTTGTTTAGTTACCTACAAAATAAGGAGGTCTAAAATGATAAGTGCTGAAGTTCCATATGTCTGTCTGCAGAGCCCTCTTCCTGTTTTAAGGTACCATTCCTACCTGCCTTCAGGGGACCTCCACCTCTTGGAAAAGACAAAAGATACTGTATAAACTATGTCTTACAAAGTAGTTGAGTTGACCCATCTAGGAACGGTGCCATGACTTAGTATACCTGGGTAAAACGTGCCACCCTTGGTCACTGGCGATAGTCTAGCGCGTCACTGGGGGACAAGCTGCCCACAGGCTTCTCCTCCTTGCTTTGGACACTTTCTGAGGCCAAGACCTGAGAAGGTGACGTGAGTCCTCGGGGCTGTTTAGTTGACTTGGTGAGCTTCTTGAATTCACTTGCAAAAGATATACCTTTTCTTTTGTCTTCTCGGGATGCCTGTGGGAAAAAGAACCTTCCATTGGTATTAGGTTAAAGCCAGAATCCTCAGTCATGTGACACTACATCAGAAAGAGCCCTTTCTTCTTCCCTCTCTAGTAAGTAGAGCTTTGGACAGAAGGGCTGAGGGACACCCCTCTCAAGACTCCTTAGCCACCGAGGGGAATGCATGTCTTTTCACATAATGAAAAAAAAGCCAGACAGTTTTTTCCCACCTGAATTCCTTGACTCAGAAACTTTCTCCTAGATTTCACTAGCTCCCACATTTGATTACAGTGTAGTTATGAATAGCAAATGATTTGTGAAGAGAGCAAAATAACCTTGAACTTTACCTGCACTTGCTCCTTTAGCTTAAGGATGAATTTTCCTGCACCTTTCCACTTGCTTTGCGCTTGAAACACACACTCCTGATCCAAAAGGACCCGCTGGGAGGACTTGGGGGTAGAAGACTTCTTGTTGGTAGTGTCTTTCACTACCTCTTCCAAAAGCACATAGTCACTCGGGTTGGGGTTGCTCAGGATGCTATAGGAATATTTGGCTTTGCATAAGGTCTGAAAGATAAGTGATGATCAACTGAATAAAGACACAGTATCTCCAATACTTGGACTCATTCTCAATGCAACTTTAAGGGGGGAAAATGTCACGGACTTTTAGAGAAGGAGGGGATGTTTCAGATCACTTCATCCCATTCCTCATCTTATATTTACATAGATGTAGCTTATAATGTACTTTCCCATGTTACCCCATTTAGCTTCACAACAGTCCATGACTTAGGTATTGTTATCCCCATTTTTAGACAAGGAAACTTAAGCTTACAGAAGTCAGGCAGATTCCAGAGGATGCACAGTTAATAAATAATAGAATAAGAACTTGAACTGGATTTTCTGCATGCCCCTAAGCTCACAGACATGAAGGTCATGCAGACAGTGAGGGACAGAACCCTGACCCTCAGGAGCCTCGCTGTCCTACTTCATCAGAGTCTTGGACGTTGAAGGCATTTTAGAACTTACCTCATCTCACTGCTCATTTAGTATAAGATTATCTTTCATTTATGCATTTATTCACTCATCAAATATTTAGTAAGAGCCTACTGTGTCCCAGATATTGTACTATGGGAAGACAAAGATGAACAAAGGAAACATACTTCTGGGCCCCCTTGGAGTTCAAAGTCTATTAAGTAGGCTAAATATTAACCAAATTATCATGCAATAAGAATAGCAAACAGCATTTAAATAGTGCTCCCCATGTGCTAGGCATTGTGCACCTTACATATATTTACTTAATCTTCACAACAACTCTGCGAGGAAAGTACTATTATAGCATCTCCGTGTGATCTACGTGGACGTACCACACGTAGTGTGCTGGAGCCAACTGGAACGGGCTAGTGAAATCAGATGTGATGGGAGCGTTTACACAACAGAAATGGGCAAATGCCACAAATCAGGGCTTTTTTTTTTTTTTTTTTTTTTAAGAGAGCCAGTTTACCAGCACACCACTGTCACTAAGGCACAGATGGTTAAGTAACTTGCCCAAGATATCAGAGCAAGTAAGAAACAGAGCTCGGATTTGAACCTGGAGCAGTTTGCTCTAGAGTCTGTGCTATTGAACATTATGCTATACCACTTCTCAAATGGGTGTTTAATGAATGCAAACCAAGACAAGCCTTCAAAGGAGGGAGATACAGTTCTCTGAAACCATGTACACAAAGAAGCATGACTGGGAGGAGGGGAGAGAGTCAGAGTAGGCCTCCTGCATGTCCTCTGAAGGATCCTTGAGATTTGGTCATTAGGTATTGGCTTAGGCATTTCTGGGACAATGAAATTACTACTCTGCAGAGCCACCTCCTAAATCCATTATCATCAGTGCTACATAGGGAGTCAGACTGATAGTAGGTTCTAGGTAAGTATCTCTTGAAGGACTGAACTAGTATTTCCCAGCCTTAAAAGGCACACTTTCCTTTTTCAGGTCCCCATTGCTCTAGAACTTCCTTCATAAAATGAGCCGTCAGTGCATAGACATTGGATTCGTCTCAATAGTTTATACTGAGGAAAGGACAGAGGTGAGGAAGGGCGGGGCCTTCACCTGCTGAATGACATCCTGCGCCGTGCTGACGCGAGGTGCTTTGATGACTGTCCGAGGTTGCTCTGGAGAAACGTCATGCACCTGGACAAAGAAACTCTCCTCCTCCGAGCTCAAGATCACCTCCTTGTCGTCTTGAACAATGTTCTTCTCTTCTAGGTTCTATGTTAGAAAATAAGAAAAGTATGAGTAAATGGTAAGATGATATAAAATAAGGAAAGAAATATCTAGCAAAAATTTGAGATGGATCTTGGTAATATAGGAACAACTTCTTAGCTTTATATTTCATATACTAGTTAATATTTAATAACCTATTTTAAAAGGATATACATGTCTTCTGAAAGGAGGAACGTATTGTATTTCTGTTATTGTTGACAGACTGATAAGGTCTGGCCCAGAACAAGCCAGTAGATCTCCTATTGGCTATGAATTTTGAGTTCAAATCAACTGTAGATAAATTTGTAAAAACACAACATATCATTTTGTCCATTACTAAAAGCCAAATGTAAGAACACAGTAAATTACATTTAAGAGAAATCCCACCCATTTCCCACATAGACCTTGAGTACTTAAGAGATGCTAGACATCTGAAATGTGAAACATGCAAAATTGACATTTCAAAACCCACAGTGAAAAGGCTAAAACAATGGCTGGAGGTAAGTAACACTGAAATAAAGATTGACAAAATTCTCAGTAGTTGTGAGAATTGGTCATGAGGTTAAATGGCTTTTGGCTTTCAGTGAATTTACATATATAATTATACATATATATTTAGTTAGATATGTCTATAGGACATAGGTATCTTATTAAAAATTTTCAAACAGTACAGAAATATATCAATAAAAGGCAAACTTTTTCCATGCTCACCTTTTTTCCTTCTCTCTCCCATCTCATTCTCCACACAAAAAAAACACTGATGTTAGGTTATATATCCTTCTAAACATCTGTTATGGATATACAAATGTATTTGTGTGTATGTGAATAAATATATATGATGAAACACTGGAATTATGTGAATTTAGATATAATGTGATTGCCAAATGGCTCTGTTCTTTGTTAGCCCCATTCTCAAAGGAGCGTAGCTTACAGTTATCTTCTGCAAGGTGGAGGCATGAAGGAGAAGGAGAGGCAAGGCAAGTAAAGAGTAGGCAACCCCGGCTCAGAAAGTGAGAATTTTGGCAGGAAGGTCCTCTGATCCCCAGCATTCTCCTAGCCTAATCTCCTCAGATCAGGCCACTGAAAGGTGCTAACTACCCAGAAAATTCCAAGAATTGCTGTCCTATCCTGGAGGTTCCAACCAGCCACAGGACTCACAATTGTCCCCACTGATAATACAGTCAGAATGGGTAACTGCCACTAGGTGGCGCCAAACTGTAGCTAGGACCAGAAAGGACTGGCTCCTAGAGCTTCTTGCCAACCAGCCACACAGGCTCGCCCCAATCATTTCATTAATCTTGCAGTCATGGTCCCTACACTTTACATGACTGAAGTTTTTGGACTTCATTCATTATATTATGGGTTGGGGGAGAGTTATTGTCTATTTTTATCACATAAAATGAGATTCTACTCTACTACATATACTGTTCTGTTTTTTGTTTTTTTTTGTTTTTTTTAAAGATTTTATTTATTTATTTTTTCCCCCCAAAGCCCCAGTAGATAGTTGTGTGTCATAGCTGCACATCCTTCTAGTTGCTGTATGTGGGACGCGGCCTCAGCATGGCCAGAGAAGCAGCGCGTCGGTGCGAGCCCGGGATCCGAACCCGGGTCGCCAGCAGTGGAGCACGCGCACTTAACCACCAAGCCACGGGGCCGGCCCTACATATACTGTTCTACAACTTGTTTTTTCTCCCCAATTAAAAGACTGTGGTGTTCATATCATGTCAATTCCTAGAGATTTTGCTGCATAATATATGTCACTGCATTGATCATAACATATTTAACCAATCGGAGAGTGGGGTTGGGTGGTAACTCACATGACATAATTTATAATCTCAGAGTCCTGAAAACCAGGAAGCAAGCAAGCAAGAAAAAAACAAAAAAGGTTGTAAGTTGCCACATAAAATATCCCAACAACCATGCACTAAGCATCACTTCTAAGAGAGCTCCTTAGAGCCGCACTCAGAGCTTGTTTATTTTTAAGGAGTTTTCAGCTGCATTAGAAGCCACATATTATTATGACCATGACAACAGCTCTCACTTACATAATCCTTTATAGTTTACTAAGCATTTTTCTACGTTTTGTCTACGTGTTCGGCATGAGTCTCATGATAATCTTTTTGAGTCAGGCAGGGTAGTTTCTATTATAGATTTATGAATTAGGGACATTTACAGAAGTCAGATGAGCTGTCCAAGGTCATCTAATTTGTGGCAGAGCCAGGTTTGTCTGATTTCAAAGCCAGTAGGTATCAGAGGAGGGCATAGTGACCATAGGAAGATGTGATACCTGACAGCTTGAGAGCCCAGGAGACAAGAAAACTATAAAAAGCAGGCAGGAGAAATCAGAGGTCACAGATAGCAGTTTGGGGACTTTTAATATATGAGCAAACTGCTTATATATCTTACTAGTTCCAGAGAGTAAAATAAATGGAAATACATATAGCCCAAATCTATCAGCTATGCTAGTGTCTGCTTGCATACAATAATTGCTGAATTCATTTATTCAATCAGTAAATATGTATTGTGTGTCACTATGCACCAGATAAACCTAGATGCAGTAAATGTGGTTATCTTTTGAGAGATAGTTCAATCATTTCAAAAATCTCCTCTCAACAAAGGCATATAAAAGAGAACTTGCTGTATGCTACGCATCAGAAAATGCTTGTTAGCCTTCCCTTCTATTTTATTTTTCTTTTCCTCAAAATGCTCCTCTTCCACCAGCCTTATTAGACATTTATTCCTGATGTCTCTACCGCCTGTTGTCCTGTACATTTAAAATTGCATATGGGCCTCTCTAACCTCCCCAGGCCTTCCAACCATACGACGTCGTCCCTTTGTGACACTCAACAGCCTGCCCGTGTTTCCTCCTGCCCGCTGCCTCCCCCAGTGCTGGGTGTGGATGATCCACGAGGACCGACACCACTCCAGCCTGGGCAGCACAGGGTGATGGAAAGAACACTGACCTGGAAGCCATAAGACTTGAGTTCTTTCTACTTCTGACCCTGTCCCGATTTAACCTCTCTGAACCTCAGTTTCCTTATGTGTAAATGGTTTCCATTACATCATGAGATCATTCAAAATAGTGAGCGTTTGAGAGCTTTAAACACTGTACATCATTATGCAAATACAGGGCTTAAAAATTCACTTGTTCACTGAAATTGTCACTTATACTTTTTTTACATGTGCCAAAGACAATTATAAATAGGAAGAAAATTTAGAGAGAAATGAAAGATGGCTTCAAAAGTCCAGCTAAGCCCTCTGATATTTTCTCATAAAGCTATTATTATTGGAACTGCTTTTTCTCTGTCTTAGCAATTTGTATGTCTGATGGGAAGAGGAGGCTGGGGAGACAATTACATTTCTTTGCTTAAATGAGTGTCATTACATGGTCTAAGGCAATGGTAGGAGGGAAGGCAGTGGCTCTGGTTCTCAGAGGAGAGACTAGAGGTCTGTAGGGGCTGCAGGCCATGTTCACAGTTAAGTAGAGAGCGAAAAAGTAACACATGATGCTGAAAATGGGCTCTTGATCGTCTCCATTGCATCCCAGCAAGCATGACTGCCAATGGACATTTTACCAGTCAAGCTCTATCACGTGACCAAAAGGAGCAGATCATGTGCCCAGAACAGGACCTGGGACATATTATGTGCTCAGTAAATACCTGTTTAATCAAATTGTTGAACTGACACAACTGCCCCATTATCGACGTATCATGAGGCATGATTGTCTGTGCTGGAGCTATGACCTTATGTGTCATTTTAAAAAATAGCAGTAAGTCAGTGGGTTCTTATCAGTTTATTCAAAAAAAAAAAAGTGCTCCCTCCACACACCCCCACAGAAGCCAACCAATCTGGAGTCGACATGGCAGTCGTTCTATTGCTTCTTCTATGGGAATGATCACAGGAATATCAGTGAACATAATATAATTTTTTACAATTTCTGACCAAAGCTGAGAGATTATTCTTACTTTGTGTGAAGTCACAGAATGTTTTCAAAGAATCACTGTTGTTTTACTTGTAAGCACAGAACATTTCATTAGCTAAAACTTTAACAGGCACTAACTAACAGGAAAGCATTCAGTCCCAAAATGCAAAATGCCTCCAGGCTTTCTGTTTTTCTTTTTTTTTTTTTTTTGTGAGGAGGACCAGCCCTGAGCTAACATCCAATGCCAATCCTCCTCTTCTTTTTTGCTGAGGAAGACTGGCCCTGGGCTAACATCCATGCCCATCTTCCTCTACTTTATATGGGACGCCGCCACAGCATGGCCTAACAAGCGGTGCGTCGGTGCGCACCCGGGATCCGAACCGGCAAACCCCGGGCCGCCGCAGCAGAACGTGCGCACTTAACTGCCTGCGCCACTGGGCCGGCCCCACCTCCAGGCTTTCCATTACACAGTACTGTGGCCCGCAGCACAGTGTCTTCTCACACACACAGATCAAACATCGACCCCATAGCTGACGCCATGCATAAGGAATCCTTTGAATTCTGGCTCCCTTTGTTTTTTTTTTTTCCTGAGGAAGATTAGCCCTGAGCTAACATCTGCCAATCCTCCCCTTTTTGTTGAGGAAGATTGGCCCTGGGCTTACATCCGTGCCCATCTTCTTCTACTTTATATGGGACGCCGCCACAGCATGGCTTGACAAGCGGTGTGTCGGTGTGTGCCCGGGATCCGAACCTGCGAACCCTGGGCCGCCGCAGCAGAGCACGCGCACTTAACTGCTATGCCACGGGGCCAGCCCATCTCCCTTTGTTTTATAAGGGATGATTTTTAGACTGAATTTCTGTAACTTAGAGATAATATTCTGAATATGTGCAGAAGAATAAAATCATTTCTCCACATTTACTTACGATGAATAATATAAACCAAGTTGCAATTACAAGAAATTCTGAATTTGAGGGAGGTGGCCAGTGGTGAGGTGATTAATTCCAAACTGAGCTGTTACCGTGTAGGCTGTGCCAGGACATACTTACTTCCTGCTGGGTTTTCAAGACAATCCTGCCAACATATCCCTCTTCTGGAAACCAGCTGCTTAAAATCTGCATGATCTCTTCTTCTGGACCAATGGCTCTCTGGAATGGTTGTTTCCTGCATTCATTCTTCTCTTTAGATATGAAATATTTTTCTTCCATCAAAAAACAGTCTGTGGCAATAGGTTTGGTGTCTTGTTCATTGGTCAGAATCTAAAGAAAAAGCAAAGGCAAATTTAGGCACATTTCTGAGGAGTGGGCAAAAACTTTAATTCAAAACAAGTCTACTTTCACAGTGCTCAGATAGGTTTGATGTGCAATTTATAACTGAAATCTACTCTGCAGTGTTGCATAATTCTTTTTGGAAGATCTAAGAATTCTCTTATGTCCAAAAAGGATTGTTTACGTCCATTCTGGGCAACCACACAATTTATTCATGATCCCCAGACAGCATAACTATTTTTCCCAGTGCTGGAACGAGAGCTCCTACTGAATTAAAAACTTTAGGTCTTTCAGTCTATGAATTTAGCTCTTTGTAATCTTGCAACACAGAACTGAGGGCAAAGAACCCAGTCCAGCTTTTACAAAGATAATCTCTTTTTCTCACGTTGGAAATATTCAGTCTTCTTCTAATCTCATCTGATCTAAGTTCCTGGGAATTCTCCTTTCAATAAACTCTGACAGTGTGCCTAGAGGCCTGTTTTCTGTGTTGGCTACTGACCCTCGGCGGTCACACAGAGTGGTTGAGAAAAGGCTCAGGAGCCAGGCAGATCTGGGTCTGAGGTCTGCCTTTAATACTTACTGGCTGTGAGGTGCTGGGCAAGATATTTAACCACCTGGAGACTCAGTTCCCCCATCTATAAAATGGGAACAGTAAGAGTGACAACCTCTTATTTTGTTTTGTTTTATGATTGAAGCTCTGGTTATAAAGCCTAACACGGTCACATTATGAGACTCAATAAACAGTAGCCGTCATTATAGTTACTCTTACTGATGTATTCTTTCACACTCACATTATACTGGTTACTGACAAAAGGCTGAACTCAAAGGGGGTGACGGAAGAAGGCTGCCACCATCTGGCCTGGATTAAGCAAACACACTTCTCTCACCCCCGCCAATGAGGCAATATGAGAGTCAACACTTGGCACTGCTGCGTCTCACTTGGAGGAAAGGCAGAATGAACTGAAGATGGTGGGGGCAGAAGATTCTAGGAAGACTCCGCTCCCTTCAGCCCAGCTCTTGGTCTGTAATCGATGCTGGGCCATGACCTCTATGGGGGCAAGACAACCCCTACTATGGGAATAATTCAGGATGCGAAGCTTCCAGGAGTAGGTCAGTCAGCACTGTCACCTCCAAGAGAGTGCCAGCCTCACTCCCTCAGTCCTGCTTTACATCCACGTGATTATGGGCATAGGGTGACGATAAAGTACTGGGTGCTTTGTATGGGTGGTCCATGGAAATGTTTCCTTACTCTATATCTTCACATTTTATAGAGTCTCCAAAACCCCAAGAGTGTTTTGTGATAGTAGACACTGAAGTTCAGGGACTGACCGATTTAAAAAACAAAACCCCCCAAAAACTTTAGTAGTAGCTTCTGTTTGATAATCTATGAAATTTGACACTTAAGCTGTTTCCTGACTCTAAGTCAATTATAACATGTTAGGCAAAATGTTGGCCTGTCCATAGAGACTTCCATTCAAAGGACAGAACTGTTTGTTAACACTTATTATGTATGGTTGTTTGATTGGTTTTTAATCGCCCCTTACATTCTATGATCCCAGCTACATTTCATCATACATTCTAACTTCAGAGGGAGCTCAAAAGTCACTCTCCTTGGTCACTGTTCCCCTTGGTCTACTCCCAAGGAGGAGAAGGAATTCTGAAATGGGTTAAAGATAAAAGAGCAAGGATATTAGGTCATTGTGCCAAGCAGGGGTTGAGATTCTAGTATGAAGAGAAGAGAATTACACATAGGCCTGCCTTGCCCTTTAGAGGATCTGCCTCCCGTTCTGGATGGTGCTCTTCCTGGCTTTCCACTCTTATAAGTCCTCCCATGAGGCAGTGTCCTTGCCTGGAGAAGGCCACAGAGATCTCTGGGGGGATCCAGAGCAGGAGGGGGCCTAGGTGAGTTATGCTACAGGGTTTTAGGGTAACAGGCCCTCATCCTCTTGTTTTAGGCCCTCTAAGCCTCTCTGCACCACCAGAGGGGTAGGACCTCAAAGGTCAAGATTGAGTGCTAGGGGAAGGGGTACAAGGGGGCTGCTCAACATAAAAATGAAGGCAGAAAGCTGAAGGGGCTGAAGATGTCTTCTTGGTCCATGTGGTCCATCCTGATGCTCTAAAAATTTGATCCAACTCCTAGGATGGCAAACAGACTTCATTCAGCTCAGCTTCATTCAGACAGCATTTGTGTGGAAATTCTGATGGATTAGTAAGCTCTGCGTTAAGAGCAAAGATGAAGCACACCTCTAGGCTTAGAAGGAAAGAGTATAGGGCCGGCCCCGTGGCTTAGCGGTTAAGCGCGCGCGCTCCACTACTGGCGGCCCGGGTTCGGATCCCGGGCGCACACCGACGCACCGCTTTTCTGGCCATGCTGAGGCCGCGTCCCACGTACAGCAACTAGAAGGATGTGCAGCTATGACATACAACTATCTACTGGGGCTTTGGGGGAAAAAAATAAAGTTTAAAAAAAAAAAAAAAGAAGGAAAGAGTATACATGGTTGGAGAACCACTCATTCTGGTCTTTATCTTTTTTTTTTGTGAGGAAGATCAGCCCTGAGCTAACATCCATGCCCATCTTCCTCTACTTTATATGGGACGCCGCCTCAGCATGGCCTGACAAGCGGTGCGTTGGTGCGCGCCCGGGATCTGAACCCAGGCGGCCAGCAGTGGAGCGTGTGCACTTAACCGCTACGCCATGGGGCCGGCCCCTGAGCCCAGTGTTTTTATGTGGCTGAAAAATTGTCAAATATCCTAAAAACTGTTAAAGATTCTCAGGTTAAGGTAGCTTGTCTGGTGGTACCAAGATCCCTCATCATTCTTAAGGTGGATCTCAATGTTGAATAACACAAATTATCAAAAAGCAGATCATCAACATGGATTTTTGTGTATTTATGTGTGTGTGTATGTTTACACACACATTTGTACACCCCCCCCCCCCATATACATTAGATGCTGGATTCTCCTAACCACGGGCTTAGTGGACTTACTTGTTGGAGAAGCTGCTTTGCCTTGGTGCCTCCATTTATAGAGAAAACAGTAAAGGGTTCTGGACCAGGGACCCCATGTACCGTGACTCTATGAGTCTGCAAACATTTTCTTTCTTCCGTATTAAACATCTGTCAAGGAAAATCACATGGTTTCTCATTCATTCTCATTCTCATGTTATCTCTAGGCTATATTCAATACAGAAGTGTTAGTTCTTAGAAGTATGTATAGGGACATGTAAATGCAAAAGAAGAGCATTGTTTTAGAACCTGATACATCTTTTTGTGGTTGAAGAGGCAATGGTGCATCTTCCTTAATGCCTAGTGAGGATATTTAGTAGCATACCACTAAAATATTAATTTATTTTAAATAACAGTGTCTCTTTCCATCATAATTAGGGGACTGATATTATATGAAATGTATGTTAGTCCTTACTTATGAACTGATATTCAATATTGAGTTCCATCTCTTTTCAGGGCACCAGGCTAGAATTTGGATGGTAAGATGCTAAATAAAATATTCCGGCCTTAGGGAGCTCACCGTCCAGGCACACAAATAATTATAATACACAAAGTATTTCTGTTAGGAAGAACGGGGGGGAGGGGGCGGGTGTGTAACTCACAATTCTTTGAGCATTTTGTATTTTAAGGTACATTCACTCATTCAAAACACAGTCAGGGGTAGCTTAACAAGGGGGATACATTTTGAGAAATGTGTTGTTAGGTGATTTCATCATTATGCGAATATCATAGAGTATACTTACACAAACCTAGATGGTATAGTCTACTATACACCTAGGCTATATAGTACTAATCTTATGGGACCAATGTCGTATACGTGGTCTGCAGTTGACCGAAACATCTTATGTGGTGCACGACTGTACAAAATCATTTATGGAAGGCTGATAGTGAATTAGCCATTATGCCTGGCCCTGGGGATTCAGAGAGGAATGGGACATTATCTCTGCCCTCAAGGATTCCCCCAATTGAAAGAAACAGCTAGAAGAGAAAGTAGACAATTGTAAGAAGCATGGAAGTTCCTTGGGAACCCAGGGGAGGGGAACTATCCCAGGTTTGGAGGAAATCAGAGAGTGCTTCCTGAAAATGGTATCATCTGAACTAAATCTTGAAGGTCCAGTGTGACTTAGCAGATGAAGAGTGGGACAAATACCGCTGCAGCCTAGCAGAGCATTCTGGGAACCTCAACGAGTTCTGCGACTGAAGTGTTGGAGAGGAAAAGGCTGGAGATGCAAGCAAGAGCACAATCATGTAGGCCTTTTTTTCCAACTGGATAGAAAATTTAAACAGAAATGGGCAAAACGGTGACCCCAGGGTCTAAGTGTTTTGTTTAGCATGCACTTTATTTTTATTTGGGGGAGGGAAGAGGTTTGCTGTTTTGTTATCCTTGCACAATCTATTTTTATTATTCAATTTTCCTGAGACGATTTGCATACCATAAAATGCACGCATTTTAGTTGTATGGTTTAGCCTGCACTATATTTTTAAGCAGTGGAGATAGTTGCCAACATTTACACAAATCCAGATGTGCTGACTCTCTTGAAAACCAAAAGATCTGGTGACACTGCAAGGCCACAGGCAGCTGGAGCCGAGAGCAGGGTAGCAGCCACCCCTTTAAATGACCCTTGAGCTCTTTGCGTTCCCAGAGTCTTTGCCCAGCCCACATATAGACTTTATCCTGAAAGCAATGGAGAAGCAAGAAAGGGTTTTTAACAGAGGAGTGACATGATCAGATTTAGGTTTTAGATAAATCTGTCAAGGGGGCCCTAAAGGAGGACATACAGAGGGGGAGAAGCTCAGAGGGAGAAAGACCAGTCAAGAACCCACTGTCACAAGCCAGGTGAGATGAATGAGGGCCAAGGCAGTAGGATTGGATAGAGATGAATGGATTTGAAAGATACTAAGGAGATAGAATTATCAAGTCTTAAATGGAGTGGTGAGAGAGAGGGAGAAGTCCAGAATGATCTTCAGTCTCTGGCTTGGACAATGAAGGGTGATGACTTCCAATGTCAAAGACCACATGTATTTACCAACCATATATGCTGCTGCCTGGGATATACCAAGGATGGTATGGTGTGATGTGGTAAAAAATAAGTATTTGGTCTTTGTTCGTGGTTCCTGGCACACATCCCCTAAAACACTTGGAATCTCTGGAATGATGAGTGTTTTCTGTACGCTAATGAGATGACTGATGGCTGGAGGCCCCTAGATAGCTTCAGGATGAGAGCTGGTCACCAGAAAGACCAAGGCACGATTAGATGGTTGGAAATTTCAGCCCCACCTCTTGACTTCCAGGGAGGAGAAAGGAGCTGGGGATTGAGTTAATCACCAATGGCCAATGATTTACTCAATCATGCCTATGCAATGAACTCTCCATATAAACCCCTAAAAGATGGGGTTCTGAGAGCTTCTGGGTTGGCGAACACATCAAGATGCTGGGAGGCTGTTGTGCCCAGAGAAGGCATGGAGGCTCTGAGCTCCCTCTCCCCCATACCTCACCCTATGTATCTCTTCCATTTGGCTGTTCCTGAGTTGTATCCTTTAAAATAAATCAGTAACAGTAAGTAAAGCACTTTCCTAAGTTCTGTGAGTCATTCTAGCAAATTACTGAACCTGAGGAGGGGGTTGTGGGAACCTCTTGAATTTATAGTTGGTCTGTCAGAAGTACCAGGGACAACCTGGGACTTGCAATTGGCATCTGAAGTGGGGGCAGTCTTGCGGGATCTGAGGTAGGACACCTAGCTGGTGTCAGAGAGTCGGAGAAGTAGTGTAGGGAAAGACACCACACATTTGGTGTCTGAAGTGTTGTGAGGAAAAACCATTCATTCATGGCACGTGTAGAATCTTCAGCTCTACTAGGGACTGAGGGCAACCATCGCAGAATTGGGCACTAAGCCCTTTCTTGCCTTTCTGAAGACATGTGATTCAGGCTCTTAGGTACCAGGCAGCCCTGGCCCAGCTTTGCAGTCCTCTGCACAAGGCGGAGGCAATACCTCCCTCCACCTTGGCCAAGGTGCTGTTCTCAACCTTGGCCACACATTGAAGGGAAAAGGAGGAGAACCTAAGAAAACAAAGTCAGAGACAGACAGAGAAGAAACTGACAAGGTAAGGGAAAGAGAAGCAGAGAAGAAAGCAGGGCTATTTAGATACGGCAGTGGCAGTGGTCAAGTCAGCGCCATCGTGAGCATAGAAGGAGCCTTTCCAAGGGTTGTCAGGACTATGCTGAAGTATAATATTGACACAACAGTGATCAGACTATTAAACATGTAAAGGGCTAATGCAAGAGTGCAGACTCTGCCCCTCCCCACGTGCTGGGGTGCAAGTTACGTATCACCAGCAGCGCCTGGCTGCTCACCCCAACTCTGCTCACCTGGGACATCGGCCCCGGGACCGCTGAAGAAGCAAAGGATTTTCCTGGTCCAACTTGAAGTTTCTAGAAGTATCGAGATGCATCCTAGCAGGCTTTGCTTAATGAGCCTTTTCCCCATGTTGTTATTTTGGCTCACTTCCCTGGCAGGCACTATAACGTACCTGTTAAGAATATGGGCTTTGGCACTAGAAGAACTTGGGTTTATAGCTGTGTGACCTCAGATGTACTCAGCTCTTACCTTCCTCATCTGTAAAGTGGAGATGATACTAACAGCTATTTCATGAAGTTATTGAGAGGATTAAGTGAGCTAGTATGTATGTAAAGTGCTTAGAAAATGTCAAGTGTCAGCCATTATTGTTATTATTATGTTCATAGCTACCTACTTAATGACTCTAACTGCCCATGTTCCTGTACCACGGGAAAGCCCACCTCCAGTGTAGCAATCCCTGCCAATATGCTGAGTGAAACAGAACTTAATTACCAAAGAGGCTGGCAGAGTACTGCTAGAGGAGTTTTCTTCCATCCTTCTGCTGTTTATGAATAAACTAGAGATCTCCAAGACTTCATTATGGAGGTTTCGTAGCTGAAGATGTCGATATCCTGGAATAATGCAGAATTGGGAAAAGCTTGTTAGCCATGCACTGCAGAACTCTGCAAAGAAGATACCCCAGGGAGGTCAATAAATGACAGGCAGAAATAAGAACTTTAGGTGAGCAGCGGGTGGCAACAGGCATGCAGCCAACACATGCCTTTTCACTGGGAGAGTGCTGCCCCTAGAGACAGTTTTGGGCCACCTAGTGGTAATTAACTTGTCCAAGTACTGTTTCTTTCTTTCTTTTTTTTTTTTTTGTGAGGAAGATCAGCCCTGAGCTAACATCCATGCTAATCCTCCTCTTTTTGCTGAGGAAGACTGGCTCTGAGCTAACATCTATTGCCAATCCTCCTCCTTTTTTTTTTTCCCAAAGCCCCAGTAGATAGTTGTATGTCATAGTTGCACATCCTTCTAGTTGCTGCATGTGGGACGCGGCCTCAGCATGGCCAGAGAAGTGGTGCATCGGTGAGTGCCCGGGATCCGAACCCGGGCTGCCAGTAGTGGAACACACGCACTTAACCGATAAGCCACGGGGCCGGCCCCAAGTACTGTTTCTAACTTAGGCTCAAACAGAAATCTTTTTTTTTTTTTTTGGTGAGGAAGATCAGCCCTGAGCTAACATCTGCCAATCCTCCTCTTTTTGCTGAGGAAGATCGGCCCTGGGCTAACATCCAAGCCCATCTTCCCTCACTTTATATGGGACACCGCCACAGCATGGCCTGACAAGCGGTGCGTCGGTGTGCGCCCGGGATCTGAACCCCGGCCGCCAGCAGCGGAGCGTGTGCACTTAACCGCTACGCCATGGGGCCGGCCCCTCAAACAGAAATCTTAAACTCAAACAAAATACAGTCGAAAAAGCTGATCATTTTTGTATCAAGGCATCTACAGTCACTGTTTTACAAAGATTCCATCTTAGAACAGCTTTAGTGATAATAAAGTATTCCAACCATAGGGGGTTGGCAAAATAAGTTACAGGATGAGTGTTTGTACAAAGTATAAAATGGAATAATATGCAGCCAGTAAAAGTGGTAATGAAGATGTATAGCTATTAACATGAAAAGTAGCTCATTAAATGCATTAGTTAATGGGCCGGCCCCGTGGCTTAGCGGTTAAGTGCGCACGCTCTGCTACTGGCAGCACGGGTTCAGATCCTGGGCGCGCACTGACGCACTGCTTCTCCGGCCATGCTGAGGCCACGTCCCACATACAGCAACTAGAAGGATGTGCAGCTATGACATACAACTATCTACTGGGGCTTTGGGGGAAAAAAAAATTAAAATAAATAAATAAATAAATAAATAAATAAATACATTAGTTAAGTGAAAACCAGTAAGTTGCAAAACACTAAGATTACTAGGAAGCTTATTTGTTAAAAATTTTTACTATGTGCTAATATATATATACACGGGCGGAGAAATAAAGCTGCAAAAGATATACACCAAAAGGGATTATTTTGGAGAGATGGAAAAACAGATAATTAAAAAAAAATTGTTTTTGCTTGTCTCTACTTTCTCATATTTCTGTGACAACTGTTATGACCTGAATTGTGTCCTCCTAAAATTCGTATGTTGAAGTCCTTACTCCCAGTACCTCAGAATGTGACTGTTTCTGGAGATAGGGCCTTTAAAGAAGTGAAAAATTTGGGGCCGGCCCCGTGGCGCAAGCGGTTAAGTGCGCGTGCTCCGCTGTGGCGGCCCGGGGTTCGCTGGTTCGGATCCCGGGCGCGCACCGACGCACTGCTTGGCAAGCCATGCTGTGGCGGCGTCCCATATAAAGTGGAGGAAGATGGGCACGGATGTTAGCCCAGGGCCAGTCTTCCTCAGCAAAAAAAGAGGAGGAGGATTGGCAGATGTTAGCACAGGGCTGATCTCTTCAAAAAAAAAAAAAAAAAAAAAGAAGTGAAGAAGTTAAAATGGGCCATTATGGTGGGCCTTACTCCAATATGACTGGTATCCTTATAAGAGGAGATTAGCACACAGACAGAGACACCAGATGCCGCGCACACAGACTCAGGGACGACACTGTGAGGACGTAGTGGGTAGGTGGCCATCTGCAAGCCAAGGAGAGAGGCCTCAGAGGAAACCAAATCTGCTGACACCTTGACCTTAAGACCTCCAACCTCCAGAACTGTGAGAAAACAAATTTCTGTTGTTTAAGCCACCCGGCCTGCGGTATTTTTTTTTTTTTTGTGAGGAAGATCAGCCCTGAGCTAACATCCACGCTAATCCTCCTCTTTTTTTTGCTGAGGAAGACCGGCTCTGAGCTAACATCTATTGCCAATCCTCCTCATTTTTTTCCCCAAAGCCCCAGTAGATAGTTGTATGTCATAGCTGCACATCCTTCTAGTTGCTGTATGTGGAACACGGCCTCAGCATGGCCGGAGAAGTGGTGCGTCGGTGTGCGCCCGGGATCCGAACCCGGGCTGCCAGTAGCAGAGTGTGCGCACTTAACCGCTAAGCCACGGGGCCGGCCCCTGCGGTATTTTGTTATAGCAGCCTGAGCGGACTTAGACAATGACCATGTGCTACTTGCACAATGGAGAAGAGAAAGAGGAAAAGAACAAAAAGTAGGAGATTAGAAGGTGTTTGTGGAGCTCAGAGGATGGCGGTGTGGGTGCGGTTGTGGGAGGAAGTAGGCACTAGAACTTTGGTACTCAAAGTAGATGGGCAGGGTCAGCATCCCTGGGAGCTTGTTAGAGAGGGGGAATCTCAAGCCGTTCCCCAGATCTACTGCCTCAGAATCTGCATTTTATTACCAAGAGCCCCAGGTGACTCTGATGCACATCAAAATTGCACAGACATTCTGGACAGGTGCGCAAGCTGAAGTTCCCCGAGGGCCACGGCAAAGCCAATCTGAGGTACCAGCAAAATCCCTTACGAAGTATGGATCCAACCAGCCAACAGCTCGGCCTTTGCTCAGGATTCTCCACGTTTCCCTGCTCTGCACCCAACATCTATTCCTGGCTTCTGACCTGGACTTCTGCCAGGCCTCAACTCCAACCTCGGCCCACTTATGCCACTGCCACCCCCAACCCTCCCCCTCTCCCTCCTTCAATCCCTGCTTTAAAAATGCCAGGGGTGGGCCGGCCCTGTGGCTTGGTGGTTAAGTGCGCGCGCTGCAATGCTGGTGGCCCGGGTTCGGATCCCGGGTGCTCATCGAGGCACCACTTCTTCGTCCATCCTGAGGCCGAGTCCCACATACAGCAACTAGAAGGATGTGCAGCTACGACATACAACTATCTACTGGGGCTTTGGGGGGAAAAATTAAATAAATAAAATCTTTAAAAAAAATGCCAGGGGTGCGGTGGGTGCTGTCTGGGAAAGGACGTGAGGGAATGAGAGCACAAGAACCCCTGCCCCCAACATCAGCAGCGGTGGGAGAGGCTGCACCTCATAAAGGATGTTGTCAATACCTCAGATTTTAGGATAATGTAAAAGAAAAACCTCTTTTGGGATGTGCTTAAACAGTGTTCAAATTTGATTTCTTCCTGCCTCTTAATTTAATTTTTCGATATGAAAATTTCAAACATACACAAAAATAGCAAGAAGAGCATGATGAACTCTGGGGCATCCATCACTTAGTTACAATAACTATTAACATTTTGACAATTTTATTCTACCTCGTTTTAAAGCTTTGAGTGGAATGACCCTCTGAGCGGTTACCGCCGAGCTGTTGTTTTCCACAACCGCAAAACGGAGAAATACGAGATCTTCAAAGTGAACTCGGAAGAGAAACTGTTCGTTCCACATGGGGTTCAGGGTATTTCGATGGATGGGCTTCGTGCGGAAATGGCAGCTGTCTAGGGGCATGCCAAGGACGTCCACTTCAATGCACGGGCTTCCCGTGCTGTTACTCGGGCACACGTTTTGACCAGAGACAATCTGAGGAGGGGAAAAAAGGATCCAAGTCACCGAAGATGCAAAAGAAACAAAGGCAACTCTGCACCTGCACCTTCACAAAGAAAGACAAAGAATACTCTGGAATGGACGAGGTAAATGATTAATAAAGCTGCTAAAAAAAAAAAAAGTAAGCTATTGTAATCACGTAATCGCATGACTGGAATCATGTGAGAGCCTATTTTGTCAACAGCATTCACCTAACGACAACCTTTCAACTGTTAAAAAGTTCAATTATCTTCAAAAACTAAGTAATTAAGAGGAAATTAAGGTTCTCGAAAAGGCTTGAGAAATGGAGAAGACCTCAAGTATCTAATCACAAATTTGTTACTAACATTCTGTTCAAAGTGTTCTAGGCGTATGTTTTATAACTCCCAAAACCTTTTCCTTGAATGGTGTAGTTTCGGAGCAAGTCACAGGGAATGTTGTTAAAAATTAATTCATAGCCTCTGTAAACATGAAGCCATGCTCGAGTCTAGCTAAAATGGTCAGAGGGAAAAGGCGCCACTGCCCTAGTCTTAGGGAAAGAGAAAAAGCAGTTTGGGTGGTAGGGAAATCTGTGAGTGGGGTTCTCCCGGGGGTTTGAGGCGTCGCGGGCAGAGGCTGCTCGGCATTCTTCCTTTGGAGGGAAACAGGCAAGATCTAAAGACGGACAGAAGAGATAACTGTGTCCCTCATGTCTTTCCTATCACCCATCCGGTGGTTTTTTTCTCCTTCAGCTTAAGGGGACGCGAAAGAAGGGGGAAATAAACCTGAGTGATGAGCTACTGGGGCTCGGTGGTTAACGGCAGTCTGTGGAGTTTTGACAGTTAGTTAATTAGGCAATAAAAGGAGTAAGGAAAGGCCCAGGAATGATGAAGGTTAAACTGTAAGGAGGAAAGATGTTTAATTAATTTGTATATTGATGCCTGTTTGTCTGATCTTGTGAGAGCTTGTTAGAGGTTAAGATGACCTGCTCTAAGAAGGAGCTCCGCTTCTATGGGATACACTCATAGTTCTGATCCTAGGGGCCCCCGGAAGACAGAATTACCATCATCAGTATGTAGGTGAAGCAGGGAGCTCCTAACTCCACCTGTGGGCTCTGGCAAATACTGTGCCTGGTGACAGCATACTTAAACCACAGCCACCGCTTTCTGCGAGGTAAAGAAATTCTTTTGGGAACTAAATCTGCATGAACAAAATTGTGACATGAGAACTTTGTAATGCCTTGAATCCAAAACCAGTTCGTATTCAGGAAGGCTTATGACATTCTGACACCAGGGGCCACACTCACAGTTAAAGAATAGACAGCAGGCTCCATGTTGTCCAGGTCTCTTTCCAAGGGAGAAAACTTCTGATACATAGGACAGTTCTTGTCCCACAGAACTGGGGGTTTCAAAACATAACCACAGCCACCATTGGCCTCAAACATGGCAGCATTTAAATGCAAAGGGAGATCTGCAAAATAAACAAAGTCAATATTGCTTGTCACTTTGTCACTTAAATGTCATCTTATAAATTTACTTTAAAGTTCAAAAGAACTTTGTATTGATTTTCCCTAAGCTTAAGCATGAAGAAGAGATAACCATTCATTCATTCCATAGATTGACTGAGTGCCTACTATGTACCAGGGTTGTGTAACAAGACGTAAAGTCCCTGTCTCCATGGTGCTCACAGTCCACGGGATATGCCCAGTGCCCACTCTGGCCTAGGTTCTGCCACTTAAAAACTCCTCTTGCAAGTAAAATTTACAACATGTATCCAAAAAAAAATCTTTGAAATACCTCATTTTGTACTGAATTTTAGAAAAGAATAATGGCATTTTCTTACCCCTAAAAGCCAAACCACGCAGACAACTGTATGACCAATTCTTGCTTTTTCAAATGTAAGATAAAATCTTAATAATCTAAAAAAGACTAGGAGACTAGCCAGAAGAACATATCTTTTCCTTAAAATCTCAACTTCAACCTATAAATTACAATACTTCTGCCTCTTTTTTTCATTGTAGTTAAATATGAAAGAAAAAATCGTTATCACATGTGATTCACATCATGTCCACAATCCCCTCCATCATCAACTCTGGAACCCTCACAACGGCTTCCAGTCTTTTGTGGCCAGATTTTATCTGGCACAGTGTTTTGATGAATGATTGGATTCCTGTACTGTTTTTGGGCTCTTACACACTCAAATGCTCCTCTGATGGCGCAAGTCTGTATGAAAAGTTGCCCAGATGAGCAAAAAGTTTATGAGACACACCTGACAAATGTTCCCTCTGATAGATTCCTTCCATGTGCACAGTGAACTCTGCTACATGGACCAACATCAAGGAAAAGTGTGGTAAGCACCACGGAGTAATGAGAAGTTGGCCTCCACTTGTCTCGTGTGTAAAATTATTCCGTGTACGTGGGGTTGGCTGGGATCGTGTGCAGGAATTCCTAGGGTAAGATGTCTTCGACATATGAAAGTTCCTTGGGCCTCAGTCTGCTTATCTATAAAATTAGTGCATGGGACCCCATCTCTCAGGCCCCTTGCAGTCCCCATGTGACTGATTCAATGAGGCAAAGTGTCTTGCCTGCGGTGGGAGAAAATTCTCTTCCCAGGCTACTCTGTGACAGAGTAACACAGACATGGGCTAGGATGGCGAAGAGAGTGAAGCAAACTAGCTCATGCAGAGTTGGTTAATGTGAAATGGATATGTATTACTAGCAAAATTATAACAACTCACACCTACTACCCTCTTACTATGTACCAGGCCCCAGTCTAAGCACTTTATGTGCATTGGTGCCTCCCAATAACCCACGAGGTAAATTCTTTTAGTATTCTCATTTTTATAGATGAGGAAATTGAGGCACAAGAAATGAAAAAACCCAAGGCACACAGCTAGTAAGTGGTGGATGCTAGGGTTCAAACCCAGAAAGCCTGAGCCATAGTTTCCAATCTTAATTACTGAGCCATATACTGTACATGTCACAGGGATGTCACAAAGATCAATGAGATATTGTGGGAAAGTCCCTACCCCAGCATTAGGCACATAGAAGGTGCTTGATAATCACTAGCTATTAAATTATGATTATGATGTCAACACCCATTTGGGTTTGAAGTCTGATTTCATTAGCACTGTGTCTATCCTTGTAGCTTTCTAAAACTTTAAAGCACTTTTTCTTAACTAAAATCTCATTTGGTGATGCCAGATGTAAAACAGATCCATGTAGAGCTGCTCAGTTTGGAATAAAGGTGGGACCTCAAATTTAGCCCTCCTATATTGTCAGATTTAGCCCTCCTACTGTCCCCCAGGGGTGGTCCCAGAACTTCATGTAGGGCTATAGTTTTGACCTCTGTTCTACCAAAGTGAAAGATTGTGCATGAATCTATGTAACCCCATCACCTCTCTCCGTCAATGCATGTGATAGCAGATCAAGCATATCACTATCTTTATGGTCTTCTATTAATTCAAAAACCCTGTATTAAGTAGACACTATTCTCATAATAATTATCCCTATATTTTGGAGCTAGAAAAGTCATCACAAAAAGTGTGACAATCATTCAAGAAAGCATAATAAATAATAATAGGAGCTTTTCTTTTGACTGAGGGTGTATGTCTACATACTTGTAGGTCCTGGGACATGAGGCAGGAATCGTTCTGCCCCAGAGAGAAAGAACTTTGAGGGACTGTTGCCAGCAATAACCTGGGTCTGCATACCAGGCTCACGTCAGTTTCCAAACTCAAGAGCTGGTCTTATTGAGTGTAGACATGGGCTACTCCTGCTTCCAGATCACTGCAGACCTTCTGGGAGTTGATGGAACCATTAGAAATCTTGGGAAGAGATGACCTTAAGTCCATGGACATCACTTTGGGGCATCAGGGTCCCCTGAAATTCAGGAAGTGGTAAGACACATGATCCATGGCACATATTTGGAGGCTACAGGGACATTGGGAAGGGGTTCTCTGTTATTTGGTTGGGATATTTTATGGAAAATCAATCACTCCCTAACCTGGGAATTCTTTTCAAAAATTAAAAAATGATTCCAATGTTGTTGACTCTTATCTCTCTATTTGGACTTGCAATTCATAGAGAAGTACCTAGAAGAGACCTGGACCAAAAATCAAGAACTACAGGTTCAGATCGCAGTGGGGCTGAGAGGGACAATCTGTTTGAGCTTAGTGCAGCATACATTTATTGAGCATCAACTGTGTGCAATGTATTGACCAGGTTCTACACTCAGTTTGTGGAAATGAAGACCATTTTTACAGATGACCACACTGAAACTGCACGTAGCTTGTGCTTTGTCCAGGGGAGATGTTTAATCACTGCTTGCTACATCAACTCAAGAGAGGTTATATGGCAGCACTCCCTCCTGGGTTGAAAGATTATGGAGAGAAATTTGAGGATGAACCACACAACACAGCCATCTGCCTCCCCTGAGCGGGGCAGCTTGAACATGCACTCCTGGCTGGATTTGGAAGAGAGGCAGAGGCTCTAGTGGTGAGCGAGGTCAAGATGCAGGTTCAGGGTGTGCCTCTGGACTGCAGGGTGGCCCAAGGAGGGGCAATTCCCATGTCCCCTTCAGCTGTGGCTCCCTGCGCCACCAGGGGAGCCAGTGTGTCTGTACCAGCCTCGGCACTTCAGGAGAAAGGGCACATCCAAAACCAAATGCATTTCCATTTCCTTGAGAAAACCATTTTGCTAGTTATTTCAGTTTACTTAAAATATTTCAGTATCATAATAACCAAGGGCGCCAGCGGACACAGGGCTAAAGACAGAGCCAGAGATGTGAACCCACAAGTCACTTGGGACAGATTGAAAAGGAATTTTTACAACTTTGAAAATATTTCATTATTATTTCCACTTGTGAGTCCAAATCATACTGTTTCCATAACATATCAAAAACACTTAATGACAGTTAACATTTGTGGAATGCTTTCTATGTGCCAGGCACTACGTCAAGTCTGGTACTTCACCTGCATTATCTTATTTAATTTCAATTGAAAGAAGCAAATGTAGCAAGGGCAAAAAAATATGACTGTTATCTCTAACCACACGTCTGCAGGGTCAGCCACACGTGGGTGCTGTTGGCGCCAGTACCAGGTGGCCAGCTGATCCCAGAGCTCAGGCTGTGGTTGACCTTGGCTGGAGGCTGGGCTCTGCTGTGGCTGGTGGGTCAGCACGGTTAGTTAGGATCTGGTTCAGTTCACGTGAGTGGAATGGGAAGGCCGCTTGACTGTTCAAAGGAAAGACTGTGGTTTTTGAATGAGCTTCTAGGAAACATTCCTCATCTATTCTTTCTTCATCTTCTGCAGCTCCCCATCTCCCCCCATAACCAAGTGGAAACAAAAAGCTTTATCCTCTAAACTCCCAGAGTCCTCAAATTTATTATTATAAGCCATTTTGTGGCCTTGAGCAAATTAATTGCTCTGTGCCTTGGTTTGCTCGTCTGAGAAATAGGGATCATAAAGGTATCCGCCTCTTAGGGTTGTTGCGAAGATTAAGTGAGATGACAGGGGTCAAGAATTCTGCCCAGTGCCTGGCACACAGTGAGCATGCAATAAACAGTAGCTTTTACTCTGGACTTTTAGGCCTCATCAGTTACCCGTTATGAGAGTCTCATCGACAGTGGAGAAACACGAACTACCGTCTCTGCTCATGTAATTCACATACTTGTTTTCTTTGTGTTGGCTACTCTTGGAGCACTGACGGTTATTCTCCATTTCAATCTCAAAGGGATGAGAAGAAGCTAAAATGTTTTAACTTGCAAAGTATTTGGAGCGACGCTACTTTCTGACTGCAAGAACAATAGTTTAGCGAGACTAAGCGGTGTTAGGAAATCTCTGCCCCAAAAGATCTTTAAAAACAAACCGCACACAGCCCTATCAAGAGCCGTCCTATGTTTAAAAAGTGCTGTAAAAAGGGGGCAGGAACAAGAGACTCTTAGGGAACCCTTCGAGGTTTTTTCTGTTGCCTTAACTCTGAAACGTCAAGGGCACAATTCAGTATCAAATTCACTTCTGTCTTCTGTCATCTGTATTTTTATCCTCACACATGGTGTGCCCCAGTCTGGAATCCTGGCCCTTTCAAAAAATGTGGTTTGTCGAACTACGTTTACTGAAATATAAGACGCCAAGGAGTGAGGTGAGGAGGCACCCTCTGGGTGGGGCAGGCCCATTACCATCTGTCTGGTAGTTGAGAGCCACGAGCTGTATCCCATGGAGCCAGAACATGAGGGGGTTGGGGTTGGAGGAGTCGATGCGGGTGGCAGCCGGGTAAGTCCTCAGCAGCTGGCAGGCGGTGTGCTGGATCAGTTTCTGAGAATACCTGCGGCACAGACGTTTGGCGGCATTTTCATTCAGCGATGAGATATGGTAACATTTGGGAGTTCTAATGATAGCGCTGAGGGACGTGGTTGGGTTGAGGGAGGAAGAAGATTCCTCCCAGGCCTGTCGCATTCCTTCATAGGAACCTAAACCCCCAAAAGATTAGCCTCAGATTAGTGCAGAAAACTTTAAATATTTTAGAAAGATAAACCCTGAACAACATCCCAGTAACCAATCATAACACAGAACACATCAGAAAACATCGTGCGGGTTACTTGTGAGTGAGTCCACCACCTTGAAACAAAATGAGAGCTGGTGAGTTTTCAAATGAGTATTGCAACACTAACTTAAGTTAAAAGCCTGAAAGTCCTTTGCCTTGGTATCTCATCAGTTCTGTGGACATATTTGCACAAAGATACAACAACACATGTACAAGGGTGTTCATTCTAGCATTGTTGTTTTTTTTTTTTATGAGGAAGATCAGCACTGAGCTAACATCTGCTGCCAATCCTCCTTTTTTTTCTGAGGAAGATTGGCCCTGAGCTAACATCCATGCCCATCTTCCTCTGCTTTACATGGGACGCTGCCACAGCATGGCTCCACAAGCGGTGCTTTGGTGCGCGCCCGGGATCCGAACCGGTGAACCCAGGCCGCCGCAGCTGAGCACACACACTTAACCGCTTGCGCCACCGGGCCGGCCCCTCTAGCATTGTTTTTTATAGCAAAAAAAAAAAAAAAAAAAGAAAAAGAAAAAGAAAAGCAACAAAAAAACCCAGGAAGCAACCCAAACCTTCTACCAGTGAGGAAGTGGTTAAATAATCGACAATATATCCACACAATGGAGTACCATAGAGGCATTAAGGAGAACAAGGTAGCTACATGTACAGAAAGCTATGTGAAAAGTTATAGCAAGTATAAAAGTTATACAAACATGCTGAGTTATATCCCATTTGGATTATCTTAAAAAAGATCTTACTTTTCTTGAACAAAACACAATAAACTTAACAGCAGTTACCTCCGGGGAGTAGAACTGGGACATTGAGAATGGAAAGGAATTTTAATAATACTCTGTATTGTTTGAGTTTTTAACTATGAGTATTTATTACTTTTATAATAAAAATCAGAAATAAAATGGATATATCTTCTGGAGTTATAATGGTGAAAAGTGCAGTTCCAAGAACCACTAAAATGTTCCAAGGTGGCTCCAATTTTTACTTTTGAGGCAAACACTGTTAGAATGTCTTCAGTGAAATACTATTTTTTAGGAAGTTAAAAGTGTAAACTCATAATTTTTTAAATGTTTATATCATGCAGATAATCTGAACATTCATGAAAATAAAAAAAGAATTAAAAAGTTCAAAGGAAGTGGTTACACAGTAAAATATCAGAATCATCCAGCATGCAGAATCAAAGATACTGTCAGGTGACTTTACTTTTTCCAGATGTTTTGTTAAGTGATGCTGTCTCCCCAGGGCTCATTCTGCCCGGATTGTTGCCAAAAATGGACTTCCTGCTTTTCCTTTCTTTTCCTCTGCTAGAGCCAGATGCATTTAGAGTTGACAGGCCTGTTCCCATAAAATGAAAATAAATAAGCCAAAAACTACAGGCAAGGGAACTCAACATTTTCCATCCCTGTTAATGTTTATTTTGAAGTCCTACTACTCTCTTATAACCTAGTACAGAAGACCTAGTGGCATTTTTAGCACCGATAATAATAGCATTGTAGGCAATTATAGCACAGTTTTTATCTCTGTAGGCAAATGTGACAAGAAGTGCATGATTATGACAGAATGACGACAAAATCACACACACACCCACTTGATCGTGCACCAGAAAGATTTTGAACAATTACATGAAGAGAAAGTGCTGCTGTCAATATTAAATTATCAGGACCTAATTACTCAATTCGGAGAGAAGAAAGAATGGTGAAGAGCCTGAGCGTTAGCATCATATTGTCTGGGTTCCATTCCTGTCAGTAGGAGCTTTGACTCAACATCTACCCTCTCTGTTCCTCAGTTTCCTTACCTACAAAATGGGTGTAATGATAGGAACTCACAGGGCTAGTCTGAGGATTAAACGGGAAATAAATTATGACGATAGTGATGTTTCATAGCTTCTTTTTCTCACTTCTAGTCCAACCACTCCCTGGATCCTTCCTGCCTGGCACAGTGCCTGGTGCATAGCAGGAACTTAATAGATACTTGCTGAATGAGGAAATGGATGCATACCACGCAGGCCCGGCTCCCGCAGGAAGAGCCATTTAAAGGCACCAGTGAAGCCAGAGTTGCCTCCAAACCATTCCCTCTGTCTACCATTGTACTATTAGAGAGTACTTCCTTCAGCTGAAGCAGCATTCAGGCAGTCCTTTTTGAGAGGAAAATACACCTTCTAAGAACACCATCAGAGAAGACAGGATAGTGTTTAACAAGAACGTAGAATTTGGGGTTTAAACCCTGTTCCTAGAGGTGCGACCTCACACAAGTTACTTAACCTCTGTGAACCACTCCTTCCTCATCTGCAAAAGAGTTGTGTTTAGGATTAAATGAGAGAATACTTAGTAGAATATCTTGTTCAGAGAAAGTGCTCAGTTCATAGCAGCTGTGGGGCTTCTAAATTTTTTTCTCTGAAGTATCTGAAACCACCAAGATGCACAAACTTGGACTAGTGAGTTCTCAAGCTTTAAGATTTTGTGTGAATTTTGCCCTCTACACAGTGATGTAACAATGGATTTTCTCTCAAGTAAAACCGAGGACGGGCCGGAGTGAGGGGCTGTGTTCAATTCTGGGAGACGCATTCTGGCACGTGTCGACATCCCCAAGGGGTATGTGAGCCCTTCCATGAAGATCCTGGTTGTTCTCCTGGGGTGGGGTGAGGAAGCAAGAAAACGAGGGCCTGGTAATCAAGAAAGGGGAAGGAATCCGGAGAGGCCCACAGAAGTAACAGAAGCAGCAACAAAGAACCTTCGTCTGCCCTGCTGGCCCATTTACCAATGACAATGACAATAATGACCATTTCCAGAGAGCCAACTGTTTTCCAGATAGTGTGCTAATTACATTACATACTTCACTACTAATTTTTACAACAACCTCTTGAGTTAGGACTGTTACGTCTTGTTTACAGATAAGGAATGTGAAATGCAGAGAAGTTATATAACTGCCTAGTCAAGGTCACTGAGGAGTCAAGGCCACTGAAGCAGGTTTGTGATCTTGGGGAACTGACTTTACTTCTGGAGAAGATCATAACACATGATCTTCGTGGTGCCTCACTGCTCTGAAGATTTTTTTGCATATGGCTCCTTGGAAGGGACTTGGTGAAAGGTGAGATGAAACTGATAATGTAGCAAAATTAAAATCAATAGTGTAGCAAAATGAACATTTTATGGTATTTTCCTCATGAGCATCAAAATAAATCATAATAACAATAAATATTTAGAAGGTATTATAACAATGATTCTGGCAACACAATTTAGTTATTCTGAGAAAGGAAATAAATTTGGAAAAGAAAAATGTAAGAAATTTCAGTTACTAAAAAAAAATTAAAATATAGTACACCTATAAAGAATGTGTGCTATATAAACAGTTTTAAAAACCAGCATACTTGGAATTTTTAAAATAAGCCAAACAGCCCCACGCTTATCCTGTGCCTCATATCAGAAGCTGGACCAAATGACCTTTTGACTCTTTCAGAATTCTCTATCAGTACAGAAACTGTACCTTTCACAGTGCTTCAAATATCTTTGGGAACTTGTGCTCTTTATTTACTCAGTGCTTGAGAAGAAAAGATAAAGCCAGTGACACGGTTTGGGTATAGCTTCAGCTGAATTTATAAAGAACAAGAGATGCAGTGTGTGCTTCTTGAATGAGTAGTTCTCACATTTGTTCCCATGATGAAGGATGTGAAGGCCACGAGACTCTGACAGGAAGAGGATTCTATCCCATCATAAGAACAATTTCACTGCTGCAAATATGGTCATATTGTAATCATGTGACAGAAAGTCACAATCTGTGAAATCTAAATGGCTAGGTTCTTGCATTTCTTTGAAATCTTTGCTTGCTACTTATTCATTCATATCCTCCTCAACAGAATTTGCTAGCAGATAAGCAGTAGCAGCTGCCAAAAGTTTAAAAACAGCTTACAGGAGAAAACTTGAAATTGAGAAAGTTCCCTTTATGATTTTTTCCCTTTGGTGCGTGAAAAGACCACTACTACCTAGTTTTTTTAATACCCTATCACCTCTGTCCTGTTTGTAGGTCAGAGTGGGAGAAGTGGTGCTTAAGACAAGCCTCTGGAAGCCAGGATCTGTGTTCAGACCACCTTGAAAAAAATGAGAGTTAGTATTTTTTTTTGTTTGTTTGTTCTTGCTTACACCTTTCTTTTCTTTTTTTGGGTAGGGGAAGATTAGCCCTGAGCTAACATCTGTTGCCAATTCTCCTCTTTTTGCTGAGGAAGGTTGGCCCTGGGCTAACATCTGTGCCCATCTTCCTCTACTTTGTACGTGGGACGCTGCCACAGCACGGCTTGAGAAGCGGTGCGTCGGTGCTCGCCCGGGATCTGAACCTGTGAACCCCGGGCTGCGCAGTGGAGCGCGCGCACTTAACTGCTATGCCACGGGGCCAGCCCTGAGGGCTGGTATTTTAACTCCTCTCTCCAGGCCAAGTTTATATACCCTGTTTACTGACATTTGGACAGATCCCCCAATTCCAGCTGCTTTCCTGTTCTCAGAAATCTTGTGCAAGGGAATCCTTTCTCTTAGTATGAGGCGATGAACTTTTCTGACTTCCATATATTTATGGGCTTTCTTGGTTGCCCTCTACCTTCTGCTGCCCCATCTGTGGAACACGTAATTGGATGAGCTCAATGAAGCACCCCCTAGCAAGAGAGGCAGGGTAGTGCAATGGTTAAGGGCAGGCAGGACTATGGAGATAGACAGGCTTTGGAATTGTAGTTCTAACATTTATTAACTGATATGCACATTTTTGGGGAAGTGGTTTATCAGCATAAGTTCACTGTACTTTGTTGTTAGTGCTGTCAAGTTGATTCCGACTCCTAGAGACCTGGTGTACAGCAAAGCAGAACCTTGCCTGGTCTTTTGGGCCATCCTTTCATCTTCCAGCGCTATATCAGAAAATGCTCTGCTACTATTCATAGGGTTTTCATGACCAATTTTTTTGGAAGTCAGTGGCCATGTCCTCTGTCTATTCTGTCTAGTCTAGAAGCTCCACTGAAACCTGTCCACTGTGGGTGACCCTGCTGATATTTGAAATACTGGTGTCATAGCTTTCAGCATGACACAGTATGACAATCAACAGATGGGTGGTGTGGTTCCCTGACCCAGAAACAAACCTGGATCACAGCGGTGAGAACTCTAAATCTTAACCGCTAGACCACCCTGTACTTTAGAAATGGCCAATTGGAGAAATCTCTCTCCCACTGAAATCCCGTCCTTGGTTTGGGTGGAGCCTCGCTATCCAGCTCAGGGATGGGACATGTGCCATAGGCCCTAGACTGTCAGAGCACTGCATGCCCTTGGCCACAGTGATTGGTTCAGGGATGGGCAAGGGACCCAATGAAAAATAACAAAACTGCTGCTGAAAGTTCTGGAAGAGACTCTTACACTAAAGCTGAATCTGGAAACATGTAGTGCTAGCCTACTGCAGCCACCTTGCAACCACAAAGGGAATAGAGCCAACACAGTGGAGGCAGAGTGAGAAATGCGGAGAGAGAAAGCCCTGGATCAAGCTATACCTGAAACTTGTGTAACCCTTCATGTTTCAACACACGAGCCAATAAATTTCCTCTTTGCTTAAGTCAATTTCTGCTACTTTCAAGCAAAAGAGTCTTAACTGATGCACTCTGAAACCTTGGGCCAGTTACTTCATCTCTTTCAGACTTTGTTTTATTTAAAAATGGGGATAAATCCACCTACTTCATAGAATTATTAAAAAGTCAAGAAGATGATGTATGTAAAATACTTAGCACAAATCCTGGTACTTAAGTATTAAGTATTAATAAATTTTAGCTATTAGATTTTATGAATATTATCATCATTAACTATTTTGAAAATCATAAGAAGATCTGGAAAATGAACATTTTATGGTATTTTCCTCATGACCATCAAAGCAAATTATAATAATAGTAAATATTTAGAAGGTATTGTAATCATGATTTCAGCAACACAATTTAGTTATTTTGAGAGCATTCACAACGCCCCATTAAATAAATAGCATATTTTTATTTTTCGGTATCTTTAAATGTTATAGATGATATTGCCTAGTCTTACCTGGAAATTTTACTGCTTGGCAATAGATGACGAGGTCAGAGAGCTCTGGTGCAATCTGTCTGCTTTCCTTTTTATTCTGAGGAAGATAAAATTCTTCTCCCAGTTCCATGTCATAAACCTATCAAGGGAAAAATGATACCAGTTTACATGGAAGGCATATGCCAGCCACCCCTGAATCCCCAAAGCTCTTTACCTGTTCCTCTCTCACGTGATTAGTGTGCTTCGCCCTCCTCTATGTTTATCCATATACATGTCCTAACACCTATCCTAGAGCAAAAGCTTTCTGAGAGCGAGAGATGAGTCTAACTCATGCTTCACCTTCCCTGAGGGCATGGTTCAGTGCCTTAAATGTGGAACAGTCAATGCATATTTGTTGAATGAATAGATGATTGATTATGCATCTTCTGTGGCTCAAATTTTTGACATATTTTATTATTTTGTTCTCCAACAATGTCACTGCAACTATGTCTGTAGATTTGCTCAGAGTCTGCAAACTGTGAGGCACCTGAAGGTGGGGTTTGGGTATTTCATTTGTCTTTCTATTCTCAGTGTCATCCCTCTGTTAACACTTCACAAGCTGGGCCCTGTTTATCTTTTTGGTCATCCCAAACACCTTTAAAACTTCTAGCAATTTCATGAACGTAGCAGGCTGTCTTCTTGGCCTGAATGCCCTGTTTTTGTCTGCTTGGCCAAATCTTCCTTTTCCACCATCATATTCCCTCACACTCAAATAACACTGTGTGATCACTGCTCTTTGTACTTATCCACAAGCACTCTTTACATGTTTGTCTTCATCACTAAACCACCTCTGGTAGCACCTCAGTGCCTGCCCCACAGTACACCTTCAGCAGGTACTGTGGATGAATCAATGACTAACCCCCTACAAATGGCAGGTGGGTGTCCCAAATCATCACCACGTGGGCTTTGGCATCTAAGGGAAAGAGAGGGGAAAGGTGAAGGCAAGGGATAGGGAGGGAGTGAAACTGACAAGAGTACCATGGTCCAAGCGCAATTTAACAGAAACTATTCACCTACCTTTCCTTTATTGCAAACAGAGTTATCTGCTTTCTTTATCCTCTTGGGGATTTCTTCATTATACTCAAACTGAAGCTTGTCATTACATGATTTATTTTCAGGTCTGTCTTCCAGAATGTTGTCTGAAAATGAGTTGGCAGGCTTCAGTGAACAAGAACCAAATGCTTCACTTAAGGGCTACGTCTACATCATTGCAAGGATATTCAGACACTTGTGCTTATCTGTAAGACGGAGGCTCTAGCTACATGTTACCAAAATGATGGCTTGAAGTATAATTTTTAAAATTTGTTAAATGATGTGTTTATTTTTGATTGAATGGACTCATTTACCAGTAGTTTTGGTACCATATACACATAATCTAAATGTGAAGGCTCATTTTCATACAGATGATTGGAATTGTGCCAACATTATGGAAGATACCCTATGTCAAGAAGCTCTCAGCTCACAGGTTTGGGAAGGATTTGGTGGTTGAAGCACTTCTAAATGGTGCATACACGATTTAATCACTCTCACTTTAAAAGGAAGCTACCAGCTTCATTTACGTCTTGAAATGTCAAAACCAGGGGAAAAAAGACATTGTTATTTGCAATGCAGTTTTCACAATTATACTTAATTGGAAAGTAAAGTTTTCAGAATTGTTTATCAATTTATTAAGTGAAAATCTTAAGGATAGGAATTAAAATATATCTAAAAATATCTAAAAGATGACAGATAATCTTATACTTTGCTCTTATTTTGGTATATCTATTCAAAATTACATTAAACGGGTTAGAGGTATATCATGATTACATTCTTTTAAAACGAAAAACAAAAAGCTCAATTCTCACTCCAGATTTACTATGTCATCACCACAAATACTTACACCAAAATTTCCTTATATCAAATCAGGGCATGCAGACTGCCAAGAAGTAAATGAGATCAATCATTTTATTACATTTTTATTCATATAAGTGTGGCAACTTCATGCTAATCAGGCCTAAGAAATTGGAAACAGAACACCGACATTCATGCAGTTAAAATGCCAGTTCAAATGGCTTTACCTTCCTGACTGTTAGGAGCAGGAGAAGCAGTAAGGACATCTGCTACAGAAAAACAGAATCAGAAAGGGATGAAAGTAAGGAAAATAAGACACAAAGCCAGATAAGTTAAACTAAGGTACAAAGCAAAGCATAAATAACAACAGCTTAGATTATAAGGTAAATGAAACAAGAAATCTTCCATCAATGTAACATTTTGACTATTAAGGGACACAAGGGCTAGTAACAAAAGAAGTGCACACATTATTAATGTTAATCAGGCGGCCAGATTCACGTTCCATATTTGCAGTTACTGACTGTAATACTCCCAGTAATAGATTGTGTCAAATGCATAGAAATTAATTCATTAGAATCATGCATTGTCATAGAATATGTCATAAGTTGCAAATTGAAATCTGTGCTCTAGTGTACGTTCAAAGCTAGTCAAGAAAAAACAGCAAGGTTGTGAAAAAATTAATCCATATTTACTTAATGAAATGTAATTAAATATTCATTAAGAACTTGTTGGCCAAAAGGCACAGTACCAGTTCCTGAAATACATAAGCCTCATTTGCAACTTCCTTTAGATTTTCTGGAAGTAACTTTGTGGCTAGAAATCATCACATTTTATAGGCAAAAGAGGCTTTAGACTAATTCTCTCATTTCATAGATGTGAAAACTGAGGACTAGAGCTTTCACAGAGATAAACTGGGACAGCCAGACTCGAGAGATGGGCTCTTAACCTGGGATGCCTGCGAGAGCTTCAGAAGGTCTGTGAAAACTCCTGAAATTTTATGTAAAAACTTGAGAGCATGTTTATTTCTCTGGTCACAGCTTCCTACATCTCATCCTCAGAAGGACCCATCATTACAAGAAGCTTAGAAATCTGTGGGGTCCCTCTAAGAAGCTAGCAATGGTCCTACCCACAGCAGGTAGCTTTCTATTTTCTTCTCATCTCAGTTGCAGAAAGTGAAGATGGTACAGGGAAGCAGAGATGAGCAAGGCACCACAAACCACTACCAAAAGTGCAAGACTGAAAGGGCATTTAACAGTGGCATAAGGAAGCCTTAATACAACGAGCTCAAACGAGTCACAGCATAACAACAAGGTCTGTTTGGGACCAGCCAGTCAGAGGAATCTTCCAACGAAATGGGAAATAATCATGGGGTGGCAGTGGACTTAAGTTGTCATAGATCATAGATGATAGTGCTAGAAGAAGGGAGATCAGCCGACACGCAACAGAGCCTTTTCGTTACACATCTAAGGGACCTAAGGCGTAGAGTGGTGACAGAACATTGCCCAAGGTCTCACAGTGCACTCGAGCAGAACCCGGTGGGGACCCTTTCCATGTATACCTTACCTTAGAACATGCGGGTTTTAAAAAAGCATGCAACTATCATAGAAATTCAGTGGAGTAGGGTTTAAATTTTACTCTCCTAACCGAAAATAAATCAGAAAGATACTTCCTCTATCTGTTCATTTTGTTATTTGCATATCAAAAATTCCTATAATAATACTACTAATAATTAAGAAAAGCCTTCTCCTTTCCTGTTCTCAAAAGTACAGAAGAAACACAGGAGTACTTTATGATAGAGTGCGTTTATCTTCCAATGTATTAACTTCTTACAGGGGTAAATGACATCTGGATTGATTGATTTCTTAAATGTGGTTTTCATTCCTTTCTTTTTTTTTCGGGGGGGGGAAGATTGGCCCTGTGCTAACATCTGTTGCCAATCTTCCCCTTTTTTCTTTTTTCTCCCCAAAGCCCCAGTACATAGTTGTGTATCATAGTTGTAGGGCTGGAGCTCTTCTATGTGGGACGCCACCTCAGCATGGCCTGATGAGCGGTGAGTAGGTCCACGCCTGGGATACGAACCGTCAAACCCCGGGCCACTGAAGCAGAGCGTGCGAACTTAACTGCTACACCAAGGGGCCGGCCCCTTCATTTCTTATCTGAATAAATTTGTTCTTCTATGGGACAACATCACCACGACTGTAGTAGAGATCCATAGGGAAGAATAAGTCAATACAAAAATATTCATATTCCCACAATGTTTCAGGAATAGGATACAAGAAATTATCATGACTCTTTTTCATTTTCTTCCCCTCTCTCTCTCTCCATCAGAGAATATGCCCCTTGTATTATCTCATGGGATTTCAGGTCAAGTAAATCGGCTTTTAGTTGATGGTATGAAGCAATCAACTATTACTAACGACACATATTAAATGGACATAGACTAGTATTGTATTTGGGGGCAGAAAGAGACTGGACTGTAACTGCTGGCCACGATGGAGGCTCATGGAACTGAACGTGACTAGGAGAATCCTAGAGCGTGAGAGGAGGGTAGCTTGGCTGTCTTAATGCCAACAGTAAATGATTGCTGGTCTGAGCATATTTGCTTGTTATCAAAACAATTATCTTACACAGAAGTAATATTTTCTACATATGTAATGTTTAAGTAAATAGAAACTTTGGCATTTTTCATTACTACATTGTTTTCTTTCAGAAGTTGCCAAAATAAACAGACTATCATCAGCAATGGTACCTGAGAAGACATTTTGTAATCTATAACAAATGACACTAATTTAGTGCAAATGAAACACACCTGAAACCTAATTTTCATATAAGAAGAATCCTTCACCGGTAATCGGTAGATTACATCACTCATGTGACTTTTTGTATTGCACCATTAGCCATCACCCATATTTTGTCCCTTTGATGGGGCCAGAAGCAAATAAATGTCTGGTTGGCTTAGCAATGTGAGAACCAGGGTAAGGAGGGAAGGGAAATGATGCTTCTTTCTTTTCCATACTCCTAGAGCAGAAGTGAACGCAGTGAAAGGAAGAAGCAAAGAGCACAGAAACGTGATGCTGCCCCCTGCAGGCGGTGCAGGAGAGGGAAAAGATTCAGCTACAGTCTACAATTCCTGCCAAGAGGATCAGCCATGCTAGAAACTGACAGGTGAGAATGGGGTCTCTCGGCTGTAATTCCACCTCCTCCTCGAGAAACTCATTTACGATTGACCCTTGTAGTGCATCCCACACCCTCCTCCTTCTTCTTTCCTTGGGTGGTGGCTGTAGTGGCTAACAGATCCCTTTCCTTGCTTGGGCCTCCTCACTAAGTGGCAGGATTCAGAAACTCTTGGATAATATTACTATAATCTGTATTGTTAGTCTATGGAGTGCCAGACATATTTTTGGGAAAAAAAAAAAAGACACCAATAAAACCAACAGAAAATCATCCAGGCACTTCCCTGTGCACAGCATAGGGTTCTGTTTCTCTTACCATCAGAGAGGGATTCATAGTCATAATCATATTCATCCTCTTCATCTTCCTCTTCCTCGTTATTAGTAGGTGGAGGGTTGGCATTCCCACCATTATAAGCTTGGGCTTGCATGGATGCTAACTGATGAGCCTGTAAGATAAATCAATAATTAAAGACTGCAGATGCTAAGCTTCTGAACTTCCATTTATAGCTTTCAAAATGATCATCTAATGTTTACTACAGTCATTAAAAGTGGCTTATCCTATTTTGATTCATTTGGGAAAGGAAAAAAAATCTAAATTCACTTGAAGTACAAGGTTAATACTTGGGCAAAAGTTAACACTCTTACAGGAGGAATCCCAGAGCTTTTAGAAACAATCTCAAGGAATTCGAGTGTGGTGCCCAGCCATCTGGCTTCCTTGGGGCAAACCCTCTGGGAGAAACCTTGGTGTTTCAGAGAACCACCACCAATCCCAAATGATGAAGGCGTGAATCGGTCCATCAATTTCGAAAAGTAAATCTCTGCTAGAAACAGTTTTTTTCCCTTCTTAAAATAATATCTAAAGGCCTCTGACCTTGAGAAAAATGTTAGAATCCCTATGGACACAGAGACCAAAAGAATAGTTGTTGGTTTAAATAAAGTTTTTCAACAGACTTTATCTGAACCATAAATCAGATTAACAAAATAGGCTTAGAAACTTCCAAAAACTTGATGTGTGCTGCCAGGGAGGTCACGTGCCTCTACATCTGACTAGAATTACTGTGATGGGACATCACAGGACACAAGAATAAATAGAGGTCTGGGAACCTCACATAAGGAAATAATCTGAAATATAGGAAAAGTTACTTGCGTGAATTAAAAACAGGAAACAATCTAAAAGTTCAACAATGGAGGAATGGAGTCAGTAAACTATGGTGTATCTGCTTGAGAGAATGAGACATGAAAAAATAATTCTGATATATATTTACTGAACAAAGGATACAGAATTGTGTATGTGTATACAATATTTGTACATGTAAATATATACATGTATACATGTAAATATATACAATTCTATATCCGTTGTTCAGGATCTATATATCTCTCTGTATATATATACTGACTGTAATAATATAAAATGACATGCATAAAAAAGCTAGATATTTGTTTGTTTGCTTTTGGTGAGGGAGATTGGCCCTGAGCTAACATCTGTGCCAGTCTTCCTCTATTTTGTATGTGGGATGCCACCACAGCATAGCTGGACAAGTGGTGTGTAGGTCTACGCCCGGGATCCAAACCCATGAACACCAGGCCACCAAAGTGGAGTGCGCAAACTTAACCGCTACGCCACCAGGCCGGCCCCAAGGCTAGATATTAAATGTTAATACAGCAGGGATTCTTGACCTGTTTTGTGGTATAGACCCCTCTGGCAGTCTGATGAGGTAGGATCCCTTCTCAGAATGATGTTTTAAATACATAAAATAAAATATATAAGGTTACAAAGGAAAAAAAGAATGTTGAATACAGTTATCACATGTTGAAAAATTAAATTTGTGCTATAGGAATATATGTCTCTTCGTTAACACAGTAAAAAATATATAATGGTAGGTTGTAACGCTTTTGAAATAGTGATGAGCATAATTCTTGGAGCTATTAGCAACTACTGTGATATAATATGAAAAACCTGTGATTTCTATTGGTGAAAAAGACATAGGTACTGCCAACATTTCTGTGGTTTGTTCCCTACATTTATAATCAGAGGAAATGCTAAATTTCAGCTAGAGGTTAGCGAAAATGAAGATGTAATTTTTTCTCCATCTAAGTTCATGGACCCCCTGAATTCTATCTGTGGATATTACCAAGGTGAAGAATCCCTGTAATACAGGTTGTGTTTGGCCTTGGAACTATGTATGTTTTAAAATAGTCTATTCCCGGGCCGGCCCCCTGGCTTCGCGGTTAAGTGCGTGCGCTCCGCTACTGGCAGCCAGGGTTCGGATCCTGGGCGCGCACTGACGTGCCGCTTGTCTGGCCATGCTGAGGCCACGTCCCACATACAGCAACTAGAAGGATGTGCAGCTATGACATACAACTATCTACTGGGGCTTTGGGGAAAAAAAGGGAAAAGG